TATATATATATATACATACATATTAGGGGTGCGAATCTCTCAGTGTCTGGCGATCCGACTCGATTACAATTTTTTTGTATCACGATACGATTTAAAATCGATTTTTCGATTTGGAAACGATTTTCGATTCAGAAACGATTTTTCTGTTGACATGGTCATAAATTTTGTTTCAATTATAATGTATATGTAACTGACAAGCTGAAAAGATTAAACAACAATGTAAACAAATAGAACATTTATTTAAAACAATCATTTTAGGTTCTTTACTTTATCAAATCGTTTTGATTCATTTTATATTTATACCAAAAATAGGAAAAAATATAGGAGTGCATAAAAATCTGTAACTTAAATTACCAGTATAAGGTTAGCTTAGTTGCCTGAATTTTTCTAAAAAAATTAAAAAATAATTCATCCATCCATCATCTTTACCCACTTCTTCTTTTTTGAGTCACTGGTATCACTGGTGCCCATATCAGCCATCACTGTGTGAGAGGCAGGGGACACCTGGACATGTTTACAGTCCATCACAGACAAATAATTAAAAATATATAAATATAAAAAAAAATATATATATATAAATATAAAAGTAAACAGACTTCAGTCTCCCATAGTACAGTAACCTTTAACTCAACATAAAATACAGACTTCAGTTATTTTTAACCATATTCCTCTAACATTTGTTATATCTTCAAAACTTAACCTAATATGAAATGTACAGACTTCAGTCTTAACCATATTGATTCATATTTAGTAAATATTTAACAAAATTTCAAAACCTGTGCAAGTTTGCACAAAAACATATCAGTTTGCACAAAAACATATCATATCATTTAGAACTGGCTCCAGGTGATGTGTCTCATCTGTCCTCTTCAATCTATTAAAAAGACAAATTACATAAAGTTTGTTGTACAACTTGTCTATAAGTTTTAGTATAATATGATAAAAAAAAAAAACATTTACCTTTGAGCTGCAGCTGCATCAGAGCTTCTCCCATTTGTTGTTTCATGGTGAAGTTGTGGTGCTGCTTTATCACAAAATAAAAAATAAAAAAATCTGCATGAAGGAATAACGTACGTTGGATCCATCGTATTAAAAATAAACCTGAACCTCTCACCTTCCACTGAGCTGTTTGCTCGTAAATCCTTTGTGATATAGCAGGAGATGGAGAGGGAAATCACAGCTTTTGGGGAAGCCTGGAAGTTTGTTGCAGAGTTCGCTGGTCGGCTGTTTCGCTTTCATCTTCCGTGAATTTTGTCGTATTTCCAAAATACTGTACCGCAATTTTATTTTACACTTTTTGTAAACAACTGTGTTCTTGTTAAGCTCTGTCTTCCCCGGAACATTGTAGGATCTGAAATGATTTTTAAAGACGAAGCAGCGGGTTGAATCGCGCTGTCTCCCTCCTCCATGCAAGCAGGCTCCATTCAGATAAAGGGAGCTGACTATCTATCTTGCTGTAAGGTGGCATACATGGCTCAATTCTACGGCAGCCGAATGGGGAGTAGGAGTGGAAAAAATATAAAACTTAAATGCATTTTAAAATCGATTTATAGACGTTTAGAAACGATTCAGAATCACCAGGACTAAGAATCTAGATTCATCGAAAAAA